GGGGCAGTGATGGCGAACCTTTTAGAGACCGAGTGCCCAAACTGCAACCCAAAACCCACTTATGCATCGTTGGGTGCCGGGTGGGCATGGCCCATTGGCTAGGTGTGGCCCATTGGGTGGGCGTGGCTGCGGTGGTAACAGCAGACTGGGTGGGACTAAAAAGTTCAATCAATCAATTCCAACTTTGCAAGATCTTTTTTTTTCCCGCCAGAAGTTGAAATTGACTGATTGATTGAACCTTTTTTTTTGTACACAGCGGCGGAAGCCTAAAGCGAAAAGGTTTTATAAAACCCAGCTGAAGGCCTAGGACTGGGGCAATGGCGCGCATGCCCACAGAGAGGGCTCTGAGTGCCGCCTCTGGCACCCGTGCCATAGGTTCGCCACCACTGGACTGGGGCATTGGGGTGGGGCTGAAAAGACAGGAGCTTTAGCTTAATATTTTAGCACGGGAACTTCAGATTCCGTCTTTCTTCTCTGCAATCACTTTCTCTCAATAAAAGATCCTTTTTGAAACAATGCCTTTTTCCAGAGATGTGCTTTCCTGAAGGGATAGCTGAGGCAGGATCTTACATAAAGACATATTTCAGGAAGGAAGTCAACAAAAAATTCAGAAAACTAATAATAGAAAGAAGGAGCAGTATTGCAGCAATATCTGTAAATATGTGGAAGATGGAAGCAGATAGAAAATCAAGGAAAGTTCCTCTAAAAGATTTATGAACTCAGAAGGAGTTTCCAGCCGAACTGGTATGTAAGGATGTCAACAGATCAAATAAAGACAAAAGTATACTGAAATTCTCTATAGCACAGATGTCAACATCCAAGATACCTTAAAAGTAATTCCCAATTTGCAAGAACCTCTTGTACTGGAACATGAGGTTAGTTCAGTACTCCAGTCATTACCACACCAGACCACAGAAACTGATGATATTTGGCAAAGAATTTTAGATTAGATAACCTTTATTGACATTTTTTCCTGTGGGCACAATGACATACATTAAAAATGAAATTTAGTTGCTTCCTCTCAAAGTGTACACAAACATAACATACATTTAAAACATACTATATACAACATATGTATAGACCTACACCCTTATATATAAGTAACATATAAATATTAATCACTGTCCATCTTGAATACATAATGGAAGGAGGAAGCTTTAGAGGTCATAAGGTTAATACTGTATGGCACAAAGCTGTGACTGAATCTGGATATTCTGCTTCGGATACCATGGAGCCTCCTCCCAGAAGGTAACAAGGAAAACAGGTTGTAAAGAGGATGTGTAGCGTCCCAGACAATCTTGTGGACCCTGCTCAATGAATGAAGAATCAGTGAAGGTTCTAACCAAATAATGCCAGCAAATGTGGAGAATATCATAGTGGCCAGCAGATCTATCTACTTACCTAGAGCAAAGAAACATGTCTCTTCTTTTTCTATTTATATGGTTGCTAAGAGTTGACACTGACTTGGTGGAACATAATTGAGATATTATAAGAAATACCTTGAGACCTTAGGTCAGGTGGTGGACCCATATTCTGGTTATATTAGAACAGAACAGAACAGAATAAAATAGAATAGAATATTGTCATTGTATAACTCACAACAAAATTATTAAGGGCCATCTTTATGATTTTTCTGGCTTCTATGGGTTTTTATTCATTTTATTATTGTATAAGTTATATATATATGTATGTATTTATGTATGTATATGTATGTATGTATGTATGTATGTATATGTGTGTATATGAGGAAATAAATAAAAACTCACTGTTTGAATTAGTAGCTAAAATACATAATAATTGTAATAATTTTTTCTAGTGTGGTGATGTTGTCCAGTTATGTTGGACTTCAATGCCTAGCATTCAGTACAGCCAAACTAAAATACAAGTAGTCCTCGACTTACAACAGTTCATTTAGTGACCGTTAGAAGTTACAATGGCACTGAAAAAAATAACTTATGACTGTTTTTCACACTTATAACTGTTGCGGCATTCCCATGGTCATGTGATCAAAATCCAGACGCTTGGCAACTAAATCTTATTTATGACAGTTACAGTTTGTTAGATAGGGCCCAATGTTCAAATCTATCAAGATCCTTCTGTATCTTGGATTAGTGATTGGTTAAATTTGACAAATAGAAATATTCTTTCTCTTGAAGGATGGGATTTGTTATTTGGTTGGCAGGCATATTTAATTTATGATAAAAAAGTAGATAGAATTTTTAAGGCTCATATTTTGAGAAGTGCTTTACTTCGAGTGTGGAAGAAGTATTATTATGGATTAAATTATAAGATTCCGATCTGGA